GTTAATTTTTATGCTCCATGTCATGCCAGAGCAAGTCGTGGTCATTCTGAGATGTGTAAGAGTGAGCCACACACTACCCAGGATGTTGAAGAAACATGTACCAGACCATCCAGACATCATATTATTTGGCTTTAAAGCAGTGCTGTTGAATCTCCGTTGCTGGATATCTCTTCAGTCTCACAGAGCAGCTTTGAGAGACTTGTAGATCCATTTTGAAGGGTAACAACGTTGGTGTCTTTCCCCTGGTATCTGTCTTGCAGGGGAACGACCTGGAACAGTGTGGGCGACCAAAGAAATTTCACCCAACAAGACAGATCGTATGTGTTGTTAGAAAGAGGTTTAATCCTTAGGCTTTTGTCTTCCAGTTTCTCCTGTAATCGCCAAGGGAAACCCTGGTGTCTGCTCCTACTCTGGTAATGCTTGGATTTTTCCTGAGCACTAGCATGAAAAGTACACAGCTCTTGTCATTTTTTATAGCCTGATATGCTGTACTAGGCACGTGGATGGCTAAGGGAGAATTTGATAATAATCTGCACCTATCTGAATGATATATGTACCAAGAAGGAAAAGCAGTTGTTTCGGCTAGTGGAAGAAGTATAACTAGGGAAAACTAGAAAAGGCTGAATATCAGGAAATGCATCTTGACAGTAACATCTGTTGGAATGCAAAGTAATCTCCCTTTGAAAGTCGTGGGATCAGCATTGCTTCTGACACTTGAAGCTCGATGAGACAGAACCTAATTTGATCTACAGCATGCTTGGCTTCCAGGGAGGCCGTCTGTATGATCCACTAGATTTTTTTCCACCTCAAACTTCTGCAACTCTGTCTTTCTGACTCGTGTCTGGGTGATGAAATATCATTATAACCTTTTGAAATAATATATTGGTGCCTGGAGAGCAGAGTGTGATTTTCTCATTTGCAAGTGAGAAGCAGTGTGTTAAATTACCATTCCTGTCACTAAATGGATTGAGTAAAAAATTTGATGTGTTTAAAACGGGACATTTTCCCCCTCCCCAAACACAACGCCTAAGACTACACATTGCGCAGGGCCAGGAAGGTGAGGGTTAGAATTTTAAATAATGTTCATCGTATTCCCTGAGGCTCAGGTTAGCGGAAGCTGCTTGACACCTGAAAATGTT